TTGGCCCTTCGGCGGTGGCTGCGGTGCCAAGTCAGAGGACAGAGTGCCACCTACCGAACCAGGTAGTTTCCTGCTGCTAGCCCTCGGGAAGGTGTGTCAAAATAGGACCTAAGCGTGCATCAATCTGTCATCGTCCTACCAGAAAAATAGTTTCATGCTTCTTTTTAACCCTCAGAACAGTCTGCCAGAAGCTTAATAAAGCGACTAAACCTCTGCCTTGTATTTGCAGGTTTATTTCTTGTTGCTGTTGTTATGACAGTTCTTGGGAAAGTGACAGCCCTGCACGCAAGTGGAAAAAGAACAGAGCCGGACTGCTAATGCAGCATTTCGAGAGGATGGGAGCAACTGAATAACCAAAGGAGGTGCTGGGAAACTAAGTCATCCTCAGCTCTGGGGTTCTCAATAACAGAACTGGGCCCCAAAATAACAAACTTAAATAAAAGCCGTAAGACCTAAAGAAAATAACTTCCTTAAAATTATATCCTGCGAGAGTCTGAAGTATTTCAATTATGCAAGAGGCACACCAGTGCGGGAGTTACTGCTTCAGCACCTACAATTCACACTGAAGTGCCCCATCAAATATTTCACCACACTTGACAAAGCATACATCGCTATCAGATAATAAACCGGCATGGCCAGGGAACACGATCATGTCCCTCCTACCTGTTGTGGTTTAACCCCAGCTGGTAACTAAGCCCCACACAGCCGCTCACTCACTCCACCTCAATGGGATGGGGGAGAGAATCAGAAGGGTAAAAGTGAGAAAACTCCTGGGTTGTGATAAAGACAGTTTAATAGGGAAAGCAAAAGCCACGCACACAAGCAAAGCAAAACACGGAATTCCTTCCCCACTTCCCATGGGCAGGCAGGTGTTCAGCCATCTCCAGGAAAGCAGGGCTCCAGCACGCCTAACCGTGACTTGGGAAGACAAACGCCATCGCTCTAAACATCCCCCCCTTCCTTCTTCTTCCCCCAGCTTTATCTGCTGAGCATGACATCATATGGTCTGGGATATCCCTGTGGTCAGTTGGGGTCAGCTGTCCTGGCTGTGTCCCCTCCCAACTCCTTGTGCCCCCCCAGCCTCCTCACTGGTGGGGTGGGGTGAGGAGCAGAAAAGCCCTTGGCTCTGGGTAAGCACTGCTCAGCAGTAAGGAAAACATCCCTGTGTCATCAGCACTGTTTCCAGCACAAATCCAAAACACAGCCCCATACCAGCTACTATGAAGAAAATTAACTCTACCCCAGCCAAAACCAGCACACAACCAAAGGTGTTGTTCTCTACAACCAGAAATTCATTAAAGGCCTCCGGAATTTCCTCCGTATTCTAACTCTGAAGCAATTTCATTGTTACTGCTGCTAATTGAGTTTGATCCCTTGCTTGAATACATCTTTTAAATGAGGCCTCTCAATTCCACCTAAATTCTGTGTACACAACCAAAGCCTTTCTTGCATATAACTCAAGATGTATCTTAACCTCTGGAGTGCACTTAAATAGTCATTCAGGGGATAATCTCCCATATATCTGCAAGGATTAACACACACAATTCCCAATTAGCTGGAGATTCTTGTGCATGTCCTTCACACATTCAGTGCCCAAGCAATGAAAGTACCCTGCAATATTCAAATTAACAAATGCATAAAAATAAATGTATTGGAAAGAACCCTACCATAAAGACAAACACGACAGTGGGAGCAGAGAGCACAGTTTACATCAAGACACATTTCAGTTCTGTAATTACATCAACCCACATAAGGTGACAGATTTTAAACAGTTGTGCCAAATAAAAATCAGTGTGACACAGATAGAACAAGAAGAAAAAAAAATATATAAGAGTTATAGGAAGTTAAATAGTCTATTAGATATAAACTTTAAAATGACAGACTATATCTTCTTTACTATAATTAACAATAGAAAATTCTGCCTCTGGCACTTCACTTACAATCAAAATAAATTCACTGAAGCCCAGCTCGTTGCACCTGCAGAGAACTGAAAAGAATTTCCAGTAGTTCTTATTTTAGGAGGATGTATAATACAGTAGCTGGAACATTATTAATCCTCCTGTGCAAAAAATACATTAATTCTCTTTGGAAAAAAATAACATGTCATAGCCCTGAACCCACTTCAAAAACATAAAAGTATCACAGTTATTTTGAAGAAATAGTGCTAAAAATATTATTTTCAGCAAATAAGGCTGTGACTAAGCCCTCTGACATGGAGCGCTATTACAGATGACTCACTGAAGAAGTCAGAAGCAGTACCTGTTCAGAGCCTCAGCTCTGAAGCTGTGTCTGCTGATCCACTGATTCCTCCTTCTTCTGCCTGTCAAGCTCACACGTCTCGGTCTGCTTCTCGTGTTACAGCGTCAGTCTGAGAGTCTGTTCCACTGACATAGGAACAGAGCAACGTCTGTGCTGGGTTAGACCAGAGGTCCATCTCTGAGCTATTTCCAGTTCCCATCTACAGCTTTTGGAGCTGAGGGAACAAAACCTGCACAGTCTTCAAAACACAGGTCAGCCACAGGTTCATCCAGAGGCACAGCAAAGGTCCTGACTGCCACCTCCTTTACTCTTTTCCCAGGAGTAAAGCCTCACATTTGATTCACTTTTGTCTTCTGAAGACTTGGCAAACGTTTTTATGGAACTGATCATTCTCTCCTGCTTTCTGTTTCTTGTCTTCTGACCAGTTATTTATGCACGCAAGGGCCTTTCCCTTCATGCTATGGCTGCTTAGAAAGCCTCTTGGAAATCCAAGCTTTTGCTCACCCCACTACGCATACAAGCCTCCCTGGCCCTCTCCGTCCAGGTACCAGCATCACTTCAAGACAAATGACTCCTAAAACTGTCATCTGAATAACACTACACTAATCATTCTTGTTCGGTAAGTCGTCGCTTTCAATAACAAGAATAATTCATTTAGCTCAATCTTCAGAATAAAGTGTGTGTTATCCCCGTAGCTCTTTTGCACCTTGATCTTTTTCCACATAGTCCAAAAGAAAATCTTGATCCTGCACGCAGGAGGCACCGACCCCATTACCAGGGTTTTCACTCGGGCTCTTCCCCGTTTGTGGGCACTACTGTTCTGCTTGCACCGATCCACTTGCGGTATCAGAACGTTTGATCTCAAATCCTTTGAGAAAGGAACCGTGTTTCTGATTGTTTTGCAGCGTGCTTAGCATCCTTGTGTCTTTTACACTGACTGCAGACATTCAACAGTGTAATGTTACAGTTCCACTTAATCATCCGGTACTGAGATTGCCTGAGCAAGCTACATACTATTAAATGAAACAATCAACCTAAATATCCCAGTCTTTCTGTTTCTAACTATGCTGAGTTGAACAAGTCCCTCTTAGGAGGTTCAGAAAAGGTTGTCCAACACCTTAGTTTTCTGAATTATTTGCCAACTTTAGTTTCAGCTACAATCCTGCTAGAAAAGCTGTTCTTGCAGTTTCCTTATCAGAAGCAGGAATTGATAAAATTCTTGTGAACTGGTAAGTTATTACAAACAAGACAACTTTCCTTCTGAACCCCAAAGATGCAAAGCATCCTGTAAGCTTCAAGATTTCTGTGTAGCAAGTTTTTAAAGTTCTCAACACACTAATTTTTAACACTTAGCCATTAGCAGTCAGAACTTCCAGCCAACAGGCTATCCCCACCTGTGGCTATAAGGGCATGCTTAGGTAACAGTAAAAGCAGAGTGACTATATAGGATACTTTCCCATAATACTCTTCCATCCTTCAAGTATTTTCAGCTCAAGCGAGTTTCTGAGCTAGGTATCTGTATTTAGTAGCCCTCAATGGATTTCTCTTCCATGTACTAGTCCAGCTTTTCACTCACTGATGTAGACTTCAACATCTCTTGGCAACAAGCCCCACACATCTACTCATGGTGTGAAGAATCACCTCTTCCTCTGTTTTGAACCTGGATCCTGCCAGTTACATTTAATATATCCTTAATATAGCCTTGTTCTTGTATCAAAGGACAGAACAAACACTCAACATCTATTGACCTTCCCTACACCACTCTTTTGCAGACTTCTGTCACACCCTCCTTAAGTTATCCATTTTCAAGGTGATGGGTTAAAATCTACTTAGTT